GCGGCAGGGCCGGAGCAGGGCCAGGGCACACAGGCAGGCCGTCAGTTAGGACCTGCCGAGGGGCTCCCACCCACCATCTCACTTCCCTGTCACACTAGGCACCAAGAGTCAGGAAGTCTAAGCTGCTTGCAGATGAGGAAAAATTTCTTAAAAGTAATCTCTGCACCCAACATGGGGCTTGAGCCCACAACCCTGAGATCGAGTCACACGCTCTCCAGACTGAGCCAGCCGGGCATGCCACAGAGAAGGAAATTTGTGGTGGAGAAAAGTGGCCGAAAATCGCTCTAAGTGGAGGAGGTAAATGTATCTGTCCGGCTCAAGGTCCCTCTTCCCACTTCCCCGTCTGTCTTCACTGCAAACTCAAGAAGACCAGGGCCTTGCACTCAGGTGAGTGTAACTCCTTTCAGATGAAGGAGGAGTTAACCTGGCTAGGGTAGGCACCCTTGACCGGAAGCAAACACTGTTCTACGTAAAGATCCCTACAGCATTCCACAAAACCATTTATATGGGGGCGTTTGGCACAACACCCCTTGTAAGTCACAGGCTGCAAAGGTGCTCCCCTAGGGGGCCAAGCGGGGGAAGTAACCATCTCGGTAGCCCCCAGCTGAGGGGGTCTGGGATCTGGGACTTTTGATTTTAAAACTGGGAACATCCTTGCAAAGCTAGGAAGGAGCCCAGAGGACTTACCCATGGAAGGACTTTCACCTTAATGAGGTCCCACCACCTTCATTCACGACAGTAAGTAGTGTTCTTCAAATTTTCTGAGCACAACCCACAGTAATAAACATATTTTACATCACAACCCAGACCACATTCACAAAAATAGATATTGGAGAAATAAGGAACTCAAGCCAATAAAACTCTGATATCTTCCTCTGTTCTAACCCACATCATTAAAAACCACTAGTTAACAGAACACTAACTTTTGCAAAATTAAAAACCCGACTAAACCAGTGGGTTGCAAAACATGCTCTTAAAAAAAAAAAACAAAACCAAAAACCTTCATTAAAGTGTGACTGGGGGTTTCTGCTTCTGGACAAAAGACAGCAGCAGAGACCAGATTTACCTCCCCACCTAGAACAACTGAGCAAGCAAACATATATATAAAATAACAGTTTTCAACACACTGGACATTAGACAACAAAGGAGTGAACCCTGGGGGACAGGAAATAAGTGAGGTGGCCCTAGGATTGCCAAGGTCACTGCCTAGAGGGAGAGGCGAGGTTGCCATGCGTGGAGGACACACGCAAAGCCAACTGCCCAAGTAGGAGAGGGCGATGCAGAGAAAGAACTTCAGAGACCTGCAGAGACCCCCTCCGGTCAGCTGATCATCACAAGGAGACAAAGGGCAAGACGAAGCTATGATGTTCAATAGGTTAGGTATATTAAATGCACTTTTAACTTACCATACTCTCGATTTATGCTGGGTTTATCAGGATGTAACTGCATCATAAGTCAAGGAATGTTTGTATTAAAAAGACATAAGACCTCGTCAATGACCTCAGCTTCTATCCTAAGAAACTAGATGAAGAAGAGAAAATGAAATGCAGTGTAAACAGAAGAAAGAAAATTATAAAAGTTAGATGGATAACGATAAAATAGAAAAAAAAATAGAGAAATATCATTAAACCAAAAGCTGGTTACTTGAAATAGAAACACTCGTTGAATCTCTAGCCAGAAGGATTCAGACAAAAAGAGAGAAGACACAAATTATCAATACAGCGAATGAGAGGTGTCATCACTACAGACCTACAAATAAAAAGGAATATTATGAATAACTTCCTGCCAATATGTTCAATACCTTAGATGAAAAGGCAAATGTCCTCAAAGACACAGACTGCGAAAGTTTACTCACAAAGAAACAACCTGAACGACCTTATTTATATCTGTGAAAGAAACTGAATTTATAGGTGAGAACCTTCCCACAAAGACAATCCCAGGTGTGTATGGCATCACGGACAGCATTTGTCAGCCATTTAAAGGAAAAATAACACAAATTCCATACCAACTCTTCCATTATACTGAGTAGAAGGAAGCACTTAACAACTCATTCGATGAGACCAGCATATCTCGGGTGCCAAACCAGATAAAGGCAATTCAAGAGGGGCACCCGGTGGCTCAGTAGGTTAAGCGTCCGACTTCGGCTCAGGTCATGATCTCAAGGTTCATGGGTTCAAGTCCCGTGTCGAGCTCTATGCTGACAGCTTAGAGCCTGGAGCCTGCTTCATGTTGTGTGTCTCCCTCTCTGCCCCTCCCCTGCTCATGCTCTGTCTCTGTCGCTCTCAAAAATAAATAAATGTTAAAAAAAATTTTTTTTAAAAGACAATACAAGAAAAGAAAATACCCTCATTAACGTGGTTGCAAAGATTCTTTTTTTAATTTTTCTAAACGTTTATTTATTTTTGAGACAATGAGGGACAGAGCATGAAGTGGGGAAGGGGCAGAGAGAGAGGGAGACACAGAATCTGAAGCAGACTCCAGGCTCTGAGCGGTCAGCACAGAGCCCAACTCAGGGCTTGAACTCGTGAACCATGAGATTATGACCTGAGCCAAAGTCGGACACCCAACCGACTGAGCCACCCAGGGGCCCCATGGTTGCAAAGATTCTTAACAAAATACTACATCACGATGAGGCGAGGTTCTTCCCACATTTGAAAATCAATCAAGGTAATTACATATTAATGAATGGAAAAAGGAAAAAAAATGATTGTCTCAACAGATGCAGAAAAAACATTTGACAGAATCCAACATCCATTTCTAATGAAAAGAACTCACAGAAAATTAAAACTAGAACCTCATCTTGATAAAAAGCATCTATGAAAGCCCTGTAGCTACCATTATACTTAATGGTGAAAGACTGAGTTGTTTCCACTTGGGATCAGGACTAACACAGGGATCCACTGTCACCATTTCCAGCCAACATTGTTGTGGAGGTCACTAGACAGTCAGTAAGTCAAGGAAAGAAGCAAAAAGTGCACAGCTCTGAAAGGAGATTTGCTGTATTTACAGACAACATGACCATCTATGTAAAAAATTCTACCGAATCTATTAAAAAAAATTGAAACTAGTAGTTTAGTTAAGCACAGTTGTAGAATAAAAGATAAATGTACAAAAAACTAAATATTTAAATACTCAGAAATTGAAATTAAAAAGATTTACAATAAAACAAAGAAATGTAAAATATGTGGGAATGAATTCAAAGTGGGTCATAGTTCTAAATGTAAAATGTAAATCTATAAAACGTCTGAAAGAAAATATCGTGACCTCGGAGTAGGCAAATATAATTCCAAAGCAGAATTCATTAAAAGATAAATAATAAATTGTACTTCAAAATTAAGAGGGAAAAGAGCAGTGTTTCATTGTTTAACATAATGAAAAACCAAGTCACAGACCGGACTAAATATTTGCAAATCACAGTCTGATACAGGTCTTGTGTCCAGAAGATTTAAAGAACTCTTAAAACTCAACAAATAATTGGAAAAGTACAGAGCCCAAGTAAAAGGAAAAAAAGATGATAAAATTAAAACAGACATTTCACCAAAGAATATATTTGGATGGCAAAGAGCACATTAAAATCTGCTCAGCATCATAGTCCTAGAAAAACGCAAATTCAAGTCACAAGGAAATACCACCAAACACCTACCAGAATGGCTAAAATTAAGAAGACTAGGGCACCTTGGTGGCTCAGTCGGTTGAGCACCCCACTTGATTTTGGCTCTGGTCATGGTCTCAGGGTCGTGAGATCGAGCCCTGTGTCCAGCTATGCTTTGACAGCTCAAAGCCTGCTTCTCTTTCTCTCCCTTTCTCTCTGATCCTCCCCTACTCATGCCCATGTGCACATGCATGTCCTCTCTCTCTCTCTCTCTCTCTCTCTCTCTCTCTCTCTCTCTCAAAAAAAAAAAAAAGACTAACCTTAGCAAGTGTGGGTGGGATACGCAACAACTTGAAACTTTCATATACTGCTGGTGGAAACATAAAATGGAAATTCACTTTGAAAAAGTTTGTGAGTTTCTTAAAAAGTCAAATACCTACCATACAGCGTTATTTCCTACATATTTCCTCAAGAGAAGCAAAAGCTTATGTGCATACAATAACTTATACATGAATGCTCGTAGTCCCTTTGTTGGTAATAACCAGTAACTGGAAACAAGCCAATGTCCATCAACAGGTGAATGCTAAAAAGACTGTGGCATATCCACATGACAGAGTACTGGTGAGAAGAAGAAGAAGAAGAAGAAGAAGAAGAAGAAGAAGAAGAAGAAGGAGGAGGAGGAGGAGGAGGAGGAGGAGGAGGAGGAGGACAAAAAGGAATAAAAAAAGAATAAACTATGTGCAACAATGTAGGTGAATCTGAAAGTGAATTTGCCTAGTGAAAGAAGCCAGACAAAAAAGCACATTCTGTAGGATTCCTTTTATGCAACATTCCAAAAAGAGCAAACTAGTCTATAGTGACAAAGTGGGCCAGTGATTTTGCCTGGGATGGAGTGAGGGTGGGGCAGGGACACTCAGGAGGGAGGGATTACCAAAGGGCATGAGGAAGTGTTTTCAAAGTATGGGTATGCTCTAGAGGAATGTGGTGGTGGGTTTACAGGTATGTACGTTCATCATAGATACCACAAAACTTATTACGTAGCTTATTATATTTCCATTATGCCTCAATAAACCTGCTTTAAAAACAAAGAAAACCCAATATGACTAGTTTGGTCAGCGCCCAGCACACTGCCTTTTTTTTTTTCAACTTTTTTTTTTTTTAATTTTTTAATTTTTTTTTTTATTTATTTTTGGGACAGAGAGAGACAGAGCATGAACGGGGGAGGGGCAGAGAGAGAGGGAGACACAGAATCGGAAACAGGCTCCAGGCTCTGAGCCATCAGCCCAGAGCCTGACGCGGGGCTCGAACTCACGGACCGCAAGATCGTGACCTGGCTAAAGTCGGACGCTTAACCGACTACGCCACCCAGGCGTCCCCAGCACACTGCCTTTTAAGACAACACAGCAAGTACTCAACTCACATTTATCGATTTATTGAGCAGATTCATAAATGAACAGCCTCAGCACCTTGAAATCATCACCCACAGAAGTGATGGTGGAAGGAAATGCAGAATTTTTCTCTCCCCACCAACACCTCGTTTCTGACACCCGCACTTTGACCCTAGCCCCCACACTTTCATCCCACTTGGCCTTGGCAAGACAAGCCCCTGACTACAGCCTGGCTGACAGTCCATACGAGGTGTCCACGGCACTAGGTCTAACCTGCCCCTTGTAAAAATGAGCTACTTAATCGTGGTTACTTCGAGGTGTATAACACAGTGCCTGACGACTCTCCCCAATTTCAGAAAGCATTATCCAAACTGTTGCTTATCCATTTTCTTTCTCTGCCTTAAAGCAAAGTTTCTGCATTGGTCTTGGGGTTAGCTTGGGTCAGACACCCTCCCTCACTCCCTATATTTGCTTCCTGTATTCTACAGTTATTCAGGTGAGCAAGTGTGTGTGAATGCATTTTATAAAAGCAAGTCTCTTCATAATGGGTGCTGTTGGGGTTATTGTGATACCAAGTCAACAGAAAGGATAAACGGGGAAAAGCAGCGAGGGGCTTGAGGTCCAGGCTGACAGGTCAGGGGGCCTGAAAGCCTCCTTCCAGTTGGGATCATGCTAACGCCTGGTCACCTGAAGCACTGAGCCCATACTCAGCACGGACCCTCCCAGAGGGACCGGAAGAGGCCATGACACTCACTCTTACTGGGATCCAACTCTGAGAGTCCCATGAACTCTATAAACTCTCTTGGCCAAACACACACAAATAGGAAAGAAGAAAGCCACTGCAAACAATGTGTAGGAGTTTGCATACTTCCTGAAATGCATCCACGGGCCACCTGGTTCAGAATCCTAGGAAATAAGAGACGCACGATTAATTAATTAAGGATCTGTGTAAATACACACTGAAGAATTTACTGCCCCACCCGGGTTCTTGAAACAGGTTCTCCTTAAGAACAACAAGCAGGAAAATTAATGTAGTAAATGCTCTTTCCAAGCCCAAGGCGTCCAGGTTGCTTTCATCCGTTGCTGGCTGAGGTGGGAGAGCAGCTCAACTGCAGATCACAGGTGCAGAGGACTTACCTATTAAATCGTGCATTCCCTTTGAAGAGCTTTCTCACCAGTGTTCATTCCCCCGACTTTAACGTGTCAATGCTCATTAACCCCACCTTCAAACCACGACCTCAGGGAATCGACCAGCATCAACGATTCATTCTCCCACTACAGCAGGCCAGGGGAATCTGAGGTCAGGACTCGGGCCTAGAGCCCGCGCGGCACGAGGACCACAGTGACCCACCATGCGGGGGGGGGGT